AGTGACATGGGAACAAACTAGTCAGAAATTAATATTCTGATGGCACGTTGAAGACGTTAGCGTGGCATCATGGCAGTGTCGAATTATGTAAGCGTTTCGCTGAAAATTAAGTCTTTTGAGGTCGGTCAGTCTTGTATTTCACCACTTTTCTATTTGAATGTGTTGTAATTATCATTTCCAACCCAATTTAGAATATCATCACAATCATGATTTTTTTTTCTTTGTGATTAATAGTGTAACCATTTAGTTTACCCTTTCCTCGGGGTACTGTGCTGCTGCCTTGATGAGGAATACGTCCTACAGATTTTTCTGGCCACATTTAAAGAGTACTTTTATCGGTTGTGCTTCGTATCTGGCCCAGCACAGGTTCCTTTCTTAGAAACCTTAGTTTCACCTTACACATATTAAGATTGCATCAGGATGCGTTCACCAAAAGACTGACTGACTAATCCTAAGTAAACGTTTCACACTGTATGGGTGATTTAGTGTTATCAACTGAGTCGATAGCGTAAATTGGCCACCGTAAAGAGTTTTAAGGCTGACGTTAGCCCTCCGCCAATCGCTTTCTCAACTGATAACACTAACTTACACTGTTACTCTCCCACCGACGCAGCACCATTGTTTGGTTAGGAAGTTATCCCCTTTTCACACTGAATTTCACTTGTGGTGAGTGTAATCAGAATGATATCTTGACATTTCTGCCTCACTGACCTAAAAAAGCACTTGAGAATTCTGTTAAAATTTAAACCAAGGATATGTTTATACCATACGCCAAAAAGGAACGCCATAAAGAAAATCCATCGAAGGGCCCGATGAGAGAAGCAAGGGAGATGGCGGCGGCGGCGAACTAAAATTTGTCTCCGTGTAGAAAAAAAAAAGGTGTCAAGATCAGCCTCTACATTTAAAATATAGTCTTATTGGTTTTATTTGCCATTAGCACGACAGTAGCAAGGCCGAAGGCTGTGCTTTGCAAGACATGGGTCTCAATTATCCGGAGCTTTAATCAAGTAGATTTCAAAAATAGGAAAAAATGATTCAATGTACCTACAAAAGAAATCGTGTACTTTTTTTTTGGTAAGAGAGAGAAGTTAGTGGGGTAGCTGGAGTTTTATTATCCTTTAACAAACATACATTTCTTAACAGTTGTGGACGGAAAACAAGTCCATATGTGTTCTGTCGAGTGAGCGTGCTAAACATTTTCAATCTGCACCTCGTTACGTGCAAACAATTACAAGAAAAACAACATTCAGCGTTACTTTATTCTGCTAAAAGTGTGCAAAATCATTATGAGTGTTGAGTTTTAGTGCATTTTTTATAAGTTGAGGATAGGTCAGGGTCGCGTGCCGTTTTTTGGTAAGAATAAAAACGAGAGAGATCTGGGGCCTGGTGCAAACATACTTATAACTCTTGCATTTTTTATCGCAAACTTAAACTAATTGGGTATATCTGATGAGTATCACTATTTGCAAGAAATCGAGAGTTTTTAGTGACGCAATGTAAATTCTGCTGCGAATAAATCTTGACTTTACGGAAAGGAATAAAAGTGTTCTAGCATGCGCAACTAACATACATTTGTTAAGGGTAAAGCAAGGAGACTTTCATTCACTCAGTCTACAATGCTGGTTTTTCTTCTATTGGCGCGTTAGTTATTAAACCAAAAAAGTTTATATTTTTGGGCCTCAATATGTTTTGGGACCTACTCGAGTTTTTCCCGATGCGTTAGGCGATGGATAAATTAATCTGAGAAGCGCTCCTAAACATAATTATGCCCAAGAACGTAGCACTATTATTATCACTTGGGATGGAATTGAAGAAAGTGAAAAAATTGACAACTAAACACTTCAAACGACCACGCGTGCGGGCGTAAACATGTTTTACCCTGCCAAATTTCCATTTTAAACCCGCACGATTCGCTGCAACTGCCAACAAAAGTGATGGCAATTAAGATTTAATTTTCTTTGGATGAGAAATTCTCAACCAGTGAGGCTCAAACATCTCCGTATAGTCCTCATTCCAGAATGAATTCCTCTCAACAGACACGAAGGAGAAAATGGTGACGGCGAAAACTCCGGTCGATAAAAATTTTGGTACTCTTACGGTTCAGTAAACGAGGGACCTGGGCCGGAGGTTTAAGGAGTGGATATGGGATGTATACTTATGCAAACGGGATAGATATGAAGGGTGTTAAAAAATGGCCGGAAACAGTGACAAGGAGAGTACATCCACTACTGCTCTTTCTGAAAGTCAGAAAACCGCAGATACCTAGATTCAAATCAAGCGGGACCATCGTGCATTAAACATCACCCACGGAGATGGCAAAGGAAAGGGCGGAATAAACGTACAACGTCTTGTGGTTAACTAGCATCCTTTAAGAGTCACATCTACAATCCACGACACCACAGTACAAGGAAGCAACTCCTTCACTGGGGAAACACTTGATGTACAATGCCTTGACGATTTTAATGTATCCGTCTAGGGCAATTAAGCCCATGTTTAACATGAAGGCAAAAACCTTTTGTAGCTTACACCGATGTGGAAACTTTACACCGCTCCTGGCTCAAATTCCACGTTCCCAT